GATCTTCGAATTGACTCTGGCGATTATTTTCTAATTCACGTAAAACGAAGGCTGTATTGGGAAACTTATTTCCAATCTATAATCGTAAATATAGGTTGACAGGAAAACGAGAATAGCAGTACTTTAGATAAGAGAAGCTATTTTAAGTTGAAGGAATGGATAATCTTGGATGGGTTGGCGTGAAAATAAATGGGTATGTGAGTCAGTTGATTGCATGAATGGATGGGAAGATGTATGAATGAATCGGTAAAAAGGAGGAAAGATAAATGGATAGATTTATGACACACATCATTCCCTTGAGTATTATGTTTCTGTACTAGTGCATGAAAAGCGAAACAAATGAAAACGAATGTAGGCATCTTGTTCCCGAAGGGAAAAACATGGTGTGATCAAGGTAAAGGAACTAGAAGGCAATGGCTCCATTGTCTTGCCCGGTGTAGAACTATGTTTGTTTTTCATTTTCTATCAGTTTTCTGGTATGTGACATAGCTTTATTATACAGATCATTAGAGTAGTCTAGTGTAGCCGGAGACGCCAAGAATACTGACTCTAAGACAAGCACAATACTAATCCTTAGCGTATCATGAATCAATGACGAAGTGCGATGATCAAGTCAATGATAAAATGATTTAAAGATAGAAGCATTCTGAAGAAGCATTCTCAGAACTACGACAAACTAACGCCACGAGGACAAATGACAATAATTATATGAATAAAGTGTGTTTGAATTTTCTTTTTTCTACTTTATTCTGTTTTCATCTTTTGATGACCAAAATATGAAAACCTAGCTTTTACAAGCGACGCATGCGCAATTCGGATCATCCGCTGGATTGATGTATCAGCGCCCGCGTTCCTAGTAAAAAATGGGCAGCTAAGAGAGTCCAGAATCGATTCTTGAAATGCACCTTTCATTTCTTTAACAAATTACAAAAGACGCTTTGATCTCAGTGGTGCTCAATACTTTACCAATATGGCGAGTTATATTAATCTAGTTCTATATCATTTGGTTATCTTATGATCGAAGTAGCATGACTAACAGACATTTCTATCACAACTGGAATCGTTAACTGGCAATTAATACGGATGAGGATACACTATAAAATATATCGCCCTAACAAACTCAATAGAAAATATAGACCAGCTCAATGTCCGTTTTAGTCAGTTTTGTTAAAATCGCACTCTATACTTGCAATAAAATAGACCTAATTCGTCTTATTGCAATGTTTGTCCATTACAGACCAATTAAGTGTCATTCCCAGAGAATAAGACTCTATGTTTGACTTGTATACAAATATATTCATTGTATTTTCATGTGCAACCGTTAACAAACAAATGACACTGTAATGGAAAACCTTACACCACGGCGACTGACAAGTGCACGGAAACGAGGCCACTCAGTCATTAATTTACGATAAAAGATATAAAAGCACATGTAATGCGTTTATAGATTTAAAGTAAAAAGATTGACCTTTTGTTTTGACCTGAATTCGTGCTATCCACCTTTATTTTGAATGAGCAGCCTTGCTCAGCCTTGGTGACCAAGATGACTGGGTGACCTCCTTTTCGTGCACTTTCAGCCATTATTAGAACGGTGAATGTATTTACATTAGACAGTGAACAGAACGTTAATATGGGAATAGATTTTGATATTGATGCATTTTGAATAGTTCTACCCAATAGCCAACCCCAAGGAACTCAGCTTTATTAAAAGTCACTCAGCTTGCTTGATGACTGATGCGTTTTCAAAAAAATATGATGCATATAACTGCAGGTGCAGGTGCAGGTGAATAGAGTGAAATTAAAATTGGCAACCCCTCAAGCTACTTGTTCGAAAAAAATTATTATAAAAAAAATTAATAAAACTAAGGAACAACAATAAGAACAAAAAACAAACAAACATACAAACAAGAAAACAAACACACGAACAAAAAATAAACAAATGAACAAACAAATTTAAAAAAAACAATAACAAGGAAAAAGAAAACGAAAAAGGGAACGACACACACACSCAAAAAAGAAACACAAACTTAACACTGAATAAAACAATAAAAGCCAAAAAATCTAAGAATATTATAAGCACCGGCTTCGTATCTTGAAATGATGTAATTTGACAGTTAAGCGGAAAAATAATGAGATACAATATTATACCTTGAAAAACAGATGACCAAGATACTGATCACAGATTGGCTGGACTTAAAAGCCTTAAGAGTAATAAGTCTATATCGATGAAGATGGGTCGTTAATATGAATATAGGTTAGGTTAAGTTACTTCTTTCTCGAACGTTTTGATGTCTTTATCACCATCGAGTAATCGCGACAAGTTCTCATAAGATCAAAAATCAAACTATCCTATCTGATACAGTATGTTTGTACTTTAAAGCTTAAACAACTGACTTCAAAATTGAGCCCTGAATTCCTAGTGAGAATTCGGCTCACTTCGGCTTGTGAATTTTCTTATTTCAAGCTATAGGCATGCTGTGATAGGGATTGATTAACTGTGACATTGAAGAATGATGCATGAATTCTAAGGTTTTAATAAAACGAGAGTCGCCTCGTTCATATCATGAAAAGCTATCAATTTCAAGCAATACCTGGTGTGTCACGAATTACAAAATTAAAAAAAAAAAACAACAACAACAACCAACAACAACAACGACTAAAGATTGAGAAAG